TATGTGGCCTACCACTTCGGGGCTTAGTCCTAGTTGCTTCCACTTTGTTATAATACCACTAACAGTTGACCGTGGAATATTTAGTAGCAAGGAAATTTCATGGATGGACTTATTGCACAGGTGCCACACTTGAATTCACTGAGCTGCTGAAAGCGACCCATTCTTTCACAAATGTTTGTAGAAGCAGTCTGCATCCCTAGGTGCTTAAAGCAGAGTTTCACCCAAAAGGTGAAGTTCCGCTTTAGTGCCTTGTCCCCTGCTCCCCATTAAGGATTTGGGGAGCGGGAGGAGCGGGACAAGTACCTGCTCCCACTTCCGCTGCGATCACCTAGGCGATCGGAAGCGCAAGTTGTCCTCCCTCCCCGTAGTCTTCTGGGACATGTGACAGGTCCCAGAAGACTATGGGGTCAATCACAAAGCACAGCGCTTCTCGCTCATGCGCAGTGGGCACCCGGCTGTGAAGCCGCAAGCTGTCACAATCGGGTGCGCACACTAAAGATGCCGGTGCCAGGGAGAGAAGACAGCCAGTGAAACCAGCGGTGGTGAGGACACCAAGGGACAGGTAAATGGCTGTATTTTAAAAAGTCAGTAGATACAGTTTTTGTAGCTGACTTTTTTTTTCAGTTGGAATTCCGCTTTAATTTTTTACACCTTTGGTCATGGAGGTGATTGGAAAACCTGAATCCAATGATTTGGAGGGGTGTCCCAATTCTTTTGGCAGTAAAGTGTATATATAGATATATCTATTTATATTTATTTTTTTATTTTGCTATATAAATCGAGGAATCCGTAAACATCCACAGAAATCTCCAGTGACACAACGTCCACAGGCTCCCTTGCATGTGCCAACATCTTCTATAGAGATGAGCGAATCGAAGTAGGCGAAGTGGAATCGCTTCGAATATTAGAAAAATTTCGATTCGCGCCGAATCCGAAAATAAGCAGACTTCGGAATGCGCGAATCGAAATTTTTCCTAAAATGGCGGCGACATGTGCGGCGACGGAGCGGGGATGTCTGGGAAGGCGCGCAGACAAGGCGCGCTGACCCATAATGCATTCATTCATGACATGTGATCGCATTAGCCAATCAGCAGCCAGCCAGCCAGCAGTGTGTAATGGTCGAGCTATAAATGGCGGCCATTTTAGAATTCTCCATTTGCCTCCAGTCATTCAACAGAGGCAGACCTGGCTGTATTCAGGGAGAGAGTTAGGGACACAGAAACGTTACTTAGGGACATAGAAACGTTAGTTAGGGCCACAGAAACGTTACTTAGGGCCACAGAAACGTTACTTAGGGACACAGAAACGTTACTTAGGGCCACAGAATTGTTACTTAGGGACAGACACAGAATTGTTACTGAGGGACACAGAATTGTTACTGAGGGCCACAGAACTGTTACTTAGGGCCACAGAATTGTTACCTAGGGACAGACACAGAATTGTTACTGAGGGACACAGAATTGTTACTGAGGGCCACAGAACTGTTACTTAGGGCCACAGAAACGTTACTTAGGGCCACAGAATTGTTACTTAGGGACAGACACAGAATTGTTACTGAGGGACACAGAATTGTTACTGAGGGCCACAGAACTGTTACTTAGGGCCACAGAAACGTTACTTAGGGCCACAGAATTGTTACTTAGGGACAGACACAGAATTGTTACTGAGGGACACAGAATTGTTGCTGAGGGCCACAGAAACTGTTACTTAGGGCCACAGAAACGTTACTTAGGGCCACAGAATTGTTACTTAGGGACAGACACAGAATTGTTACTGAGGGACACAGAATTGTTACTGAGGGCCACAGAACTGTTACTTAGGGCCACAGAAACGTTACTTAGGGACACAGAATTGTTACTCAGGGACAGACACAGAATTGTTACTTAGAGACACAGAATTGTTACTCAGGGACAGACACAGAATTGTTACTGAGGGATACAGAATTGTTACTGAGGGACACAGAATTGTTACTCAGGGACAGACACAGAATTGTTACTCAGGGAGGGACACAGAATTGTTACTGAGGGACACAGAATTGTTACTCAGGGACACAGAATTGTTACTGAGGGACACAGAATTGTTACTGAGGGACACAGAATTGTTACTGAGGGACACAGAATTGTTACTCAGCGACAGACACAGAATTGTTACTCAGGGACAGACACAGAATTGTTACTGAGGGACACAGAATTGTTACTGAGGGACACAGAATTGTTACTGAGGGACACAGAATTGTTACTGAGGGCCACAGAACCGTTACTTAGGGCCACAGAAACGTTACTTAGGGACACAGAATTGTTACTCAGGGACAGACACAGAATTGTTACTCAGGGACAGACACAGAATTGTTACTGAGGGACACAGAATTGTTACTGAGGGACACAGAATTGTTACTGAGGGACACAGAATTGTTACTCAGGGACACAGAATTGTTACTGAGGGACACAGAATTGTTACTCAGGGACACAGAATTGTTACTGAGGGACACAGAATTGTTACTCAGGGACACAGAATTGTTACTGAGGGACACAGAATTGTTACTCAGGGACAGACACAGAATTGTTACTCAGGGACAGACACAGAAAATGTTACTGAGGGACACAGAATTGTTACTGAGGGACACAGAATTGTTACTGAGGGACACAGAATTGTTACTCAGGGACACAGAATTGTTACTCAGGGACACAGAATTGTTACTGAGGGACACAGAATTGTTACTCAGGGACACAGAATTGTTACTGAGGGACACAGAATTGTTACTGAGGGACACAGAATTGTTACTGAGGGACACAGAATTGTTACTCAGGGACAGACACAGAATTGTTACTCAGGAACAGACACAGAATTGTTACTGAGGGACACAGAATTGTTACTGAGGGACACAGAATTGTTACTGAGGGACACAGATTTGTTACTGAGAGCCACAGAACCGTTACTTAGGGCCACAGAAACGTTACTTAGGGACACAGAATTGTTACTCAGGGACAGACACAGAATTGTTACTGAGGGACACAGAATTGTTACTGAGGGACACAGAATTGTTACTGAGGGACACAGAATTGTTACTGAGGGACACAGAATTGTTACTGAGGGACACAGAATTGTTACTCAGGGACACAGAATTGAATTGTTTAGAATTGTTACTGAGGGACACAGAATTGTTACTGAGGGACACAGAATTGTTACTCAGGGACAGACACAGAATTGTTACTCAGGGACAGACACAGAATTGTTACTCAGGGACAGACACAGGGACACAGAATTGTTACTGAGGGACACAGAATTGTTACTGAGGGACACAGAATTGTTACTCAGGGACACAGAATTGTTACTGAGGGACACAGAATTGTTACTGAGGGACACAGAATTGTTACTCAGCGACAGACACAGAATTGTTACTCAGGGACAGACACAGAATTGTTACTGAGGGACACAGAATTGTTACTGAGGGACACAGAATTGTTACTCAGGGACACAGAATTGTTACTGAGGGACACAGAATTGTTACTGAGGGACACAGAATTGTTACTGAGGGACACAGAATTGTTACTCAGGGACACAGAATTGTTACTCAGGGACACAGAATTGTTACTCAGGGACACAGAATTGTTACTGAGGGACACAGAATTGTTACTGAGGGACACAGAATTGTTACTCAGGGACACAGAATTGTTAATCAGGGACAGACACAGAATTGTTACTCAGGGACACAGAATCGTTTAATTAAAGAGTATGTCAGACAAGATGCATAGGAGTGGCAGAGGAGGCAATGTTTTAGGAGCGAGCAGACGTGGCAGCAGAGGAAGGGGTCGAGGCAGCACTAGTCGCAGCCAGAGGCCAGTGCTCCCGGTGTCATCCAGCGGTCGTGTCTCCACCGACAACCCTGCCGTCATCGTTTGGTTGGCTCGGTCGTCTTCCTCTTCCCAGGTCACCTCTGACACCTACAGCCAACGGTCGGTGGGTACGTCAGACACAACCGTTAGTTGGCATGGCCCGGGAGCAAGCCCACTGAAATCACGTGTCCTCGACCTGCCCCTGTCCTTTGGTGTTCCCTCACCAAGCGAAGTATCGTATGCTGTGGGCTCAGCCCCACTGTACAGTGAGGAAGAGCTAACAGAGGGCGGTCAGGAACGGGGGGAGACATCCGCCTCTTCAGCAGCCAGGCGAAGAAGTAGTGGCGAGGAGAGTGGCTCGGTAGCCGGTCTAGAGACAGGTCTGTCTCCTGACCCACACGCAGCCGAGGGGGCTAGTAGTGAGGCGGAGACCCTAATTGATGATGATGAGGCTGATCGCACTTGGCAGCCTCGTCGTCATCAGGCTATTGTTTCCGCATCATCAGGAGAAGAGGGTGGCAGCTTGGCAGCGAGCAAAACAGTCGGTGGGTTGCCCAGGAGGCAGCAGGGTCGCAGCAGTGTCAGTGGAGGCAAACGGCCACGGAGTACAGCACCAGCTCCACTGCAGCCTACCACCACGGCCAGTAGTGGTGCCGGTGTGCACGGAGGAAGCAGCAGTCAGCCAGTGAGGAGTATCGGGGCAAAGTTTCCTACTCGGCGGTGTGGCAATTTTTTGTCAAGCCGCCCGAGGAAGTAAACGTAGCCGTATGTCGACTATGTGGCCAGAAAGTCAAGCGTGGCCAGGGGGCCCATGTTGGGACTACAGCGTTGCGGCAGCATATGCAGCGTCGCCATTTGGTGGCCTGGGAAAACCGTGATAAAGATACGGCGGTTCTGCCTGCCCCAGCCCAGGGTTCCAGTTTGTCATAGGGTGCTGGCAGATTACGGGCCTCCCATAGCTGCTGCCAGGCCCCTAATCTGCCATGGGCCCCTGTACCGCCTCCTCATGCTGCTGCCAGGTCCACAGTGTCTCATGCCATGTGCCACTTTCAGGTCTCCTCACACTGCTGGTGTGTTCCATTTTTTGTCATAGGGTGCTGGCAGATTACGGGCCTCCCATAGCTGCTGCCAGGCCCCTAATCTGCCATGGGCCCCTATACCGCCTCCTCATGCTGCTGCCAGGTCCAGAGTCTCTCATGGGTCCCTATACGGCCTCCCATTGCTGCTGTCTCCATCACCACACTCTGCCATGTGCCACTTTCAGGTCTCCTCACACTGCTGGTGTGTTCCATTTTTTGTCATAGAGTGCTGGCAGATTACGGGCCTCCCATAGCTGCTGCCAGGCCCCTAATCTGCCATGGGCCCCTATACCGCCTCCTCATGCTGCTGCCAGGTCCAGAGTCTCTCATGGGTCCCTGTACGGCCTCCCATTGCTGCTGTCTCCATCGCCACACTCTGCCATGTGCCACTTTCAGGTTTCCTCACACACTGCTGGTGTGTTCCATTTTTTGTCATAGGGTGCTGGCAGATTACGGGCCTCCCATAGCTGCTGCCAGGCCCCTAATCTGCCATGGGCCCCTGTACCGCCTCCTCATGCTGCTGCCAGGTCCACAGTGTCTCATGCCATGCCATGTGCCACTTTCAGGTCTCCTCACACTGCTGGTGTGTTCCATTTTTTGTCATAGGGTGCTGGCAGATTACGGGCCTCCCATAGCTGCTGCCAGGCCCCTAATCTGCCATGGGCCCCTATACCGCCTCCTCATGCTGCTGCCAGGTCCAGAGTCTCTCATGGGTCCCTGTACGGCCTCCCATTGCTGCTGTCTCCATCGCCACACTCTGCCATGTGCCACTTTCAGGTCTCCTCACACTGCTGGTGTGTTTCCATTTTTTGTCATAGGGTGCTGGCAGATTACGGGCCTCCCATAGCTGCTGCCAGGCCCCTAATCTGCCATGGGCCCCTATACCGCCTCCTCATGCTGCTGCCAGGTCCAGAGTCTCCCATGGGTCCCTGTACGGCCTCCCATTGCTGCTGTCTCCATCGCCACACTCTGCCATGTGCCACTTTCAGGTCTCCTCACACTGCTGGTGTGTTCCATTTTTTGTCATAGGGTGCTGGCAGATTACGGGCCTCCCATAGCTGCTGCCAGGCCCCTAATCTGCCATGGGCCCCTGTACCGCCTCCTCATGCTGCTGCCAGGTCCACAGTGTCTCATGCCATGTGCCACTTTCAGGTTTCCTCACACTGCTGGTGTGTTCCATTTTTTGTCATAGGGTGCTGGCAGATTACGGGCCTCCCATAGCTGCTGCTAGGCCCCTAATCTGCCATGGGCCCCTATACCGCCTCCTCATGCTGCTGCCAGGTCCAGAGTCTCTCATGGGTCCCTGTACGGCCTCCCATTGCTGCTGTCTCCATCGCCACACTCTGCCATGTGCCACTTTCAGGTCTCCTCACACACTGCTGGTGTGTTCCATTTTTTGTCATAGGGTGCTGGCAGATTACGGGCCTCCCATAGCTGCTGCCAGGCCCCTAATCTGCCATGGGCCCCTGTACCGCCTCCTCATGCTGCTGCCAGGTCCACAGTGTCTCATGCCATGTGCCACTTTCAGGTCTCCTCACACTGCTGGTGTGTTCCATTTTTTGTCATAGGGTGCTGGCAGATTACGGGCCTCCTATAGCTGCTGCCAGGCCCCTAATCTGCCATGGGCCCCTATACCGCCTCCTCATGCTGCTGCCAGGTCCAGAGTCTCTCATGGGTCCCTGTACGGCCTCCCATTGCTGCTGTCTCCATCGCCACACTCTGCCATGTGCCACTTTCAGGTCTCCTCACACTGCTGGTGTGTTCCATTTTTTGTCATAGGGTGCTGGCAGATTACGGGCCTCCCATAGCTGCTGCCAGGCCCCTAATCTGCCATGGGCCCCTGTACCGCCTCCTCATGCTGCTGCCAGGTCCACAGTGTCTCATGCCATGTGCCACTTTCAGGTCTCCTCACACTGCTGGTGTGTTCCATTTTTTTGTCATAGGGTGCTGGCAGATTACGGGCCTCCTATAGCTGCTGCCAGGCCCCTAATCTGCCATGGGCCCCTATACCGCCTCCTCATGCTGCTGCCCAGGTCCAGAGTCTCTCATGGGTCCCTGTACGGCCTCCCATTGCTGCTGTCTCCATCGCCACACTCTGCCATGTGCCACTTTCAGGTCTCCTCACACTGCTGGTGTGTTCCATTTTTTGTCATAGGGTGCTGGCAGATTACGGGCCTCCCATAGCTGCTGCCAGGCCCCTAATCTGCCATGGGCCCCTGTACCGCCTCCTCATGCTGCTGCCAGGTCCACAGTGTTTCATGCCATGTGCCACTTTCAGGTCTCCTCACACTGCTGGTGTGTTCCATTTTTTGTCATAGGGTGCTGGCAGATTACGGGCCTCCCATAGCTGCTGCCAGGCCCCTAATCTGCCATGGGCCCCTGTACCGCCTCCTCATGCTGCTGCCAGGTCCACAGTGTCTCATGCCATGTGCCACTTTCAGGTCTCCTCACACTGCTGGTGTGTTCCATTTTTTGTCATAGGGTGCTGGCAGATTACGGGCCTCCTATAGCTGCTGCCAGGCCCCTAATCTGCCATGGGCCCCTATACCGCCTCCTCATGCTGCTGCCAGGTCCAGAGTCTCTCATGGGTCCCTGTACGGCCTCCCATTGCTGCTGTCTCCATCGCCACACTCTGCCATGTGCCACTTTCAGGTCTCCTCACACTGCTGGTGTGTTCCATTTTTTGTCATAGGGTGCTGGCAGATTACGGGCCTCCCATAGCTGCTGCCAGGCCCCTAATCTGCCATGGGCCCCTATACCGCCTCCTCATGCTGCTGCCAGGTCCAGAGTCTCTCATGGGTCCCTGTACGGCCTCCCATTGCTGCTGTCTCCATCGCCACACACTGCCATGTGCCACTTTCAGGTCTCCTCACACTGCTGGTGTGTTCCATTTTTTGTCATAGGGTGCTGGCAGATTACGGGCCTCCCATAGCTGCTGCCAGGCCCCTAATAAGAACTTCAGCCCCTCTGACACACTAGATTAGGTGTACAAAGTATGCAATACTACAGAAAATCAATGAAAGCCTTATTTGGTTGCCATTACTACCATGTTCAAGACAACAGGCACTGAACCAGTTAGTAAAGGCAAAATGAATATATTGGTGAGTAAAGAGGCAAGCATGAAAATTGATTACCAAAGGCAATAACACAATCTAGCATACAAGGTGATTAGTAATAAGGACTAGGCATAAGATTACATGCATCCAGATCAGCATAAACCATAGCAAGGTCACCTAAAGTGCAGCAGTGGGCAGTACATAAGCTTGAATTACTGAATACAGAAGACTATACTGCCACAGTGCAATAATGGCAACTATGCTAGGCCTACACTGAATGGATAGGCACTGTCTGTAAGATATAAAAAAAGGGGAAGGAGTCAAAAGGGACTTGCAGGATAGTTTTGCTGAAGGGGCAGTCCTTTGTGTTGTTCTTCTGACGGCTATCAGTGGGGACACTATAAGAAGCAGTGGTGCACTTAGTGAGAGTTTTAGTACACCGGCATGCGGTAGAGATGCAGTATACGTGTGGTACAGGTGCAGTGTAGAATTGGGTCTAATGCAGTGACAGTTTGGGATAACTGCAGTATGGGGTTGATGGAAGTGCGGTAGACAAATGGTATAGATGCAGTTGGATGCACTTGGTTTCCTGCCCTTAGTGGCTCAGCCTCTGTTAGCAGTGTCAATAATGGGCAGATAGCCCAGTGATGCAGGATCCATGATGAAGGAGCTGCTGCACTACCCCCAGATGTCCTCACTCTCACCCCTGCTGGTCAGTGTCCGTTCTCTCCCCAAGCTTTCGGGGAGTGTCCCCTTCTTCAAGGTCCAAGCAGCACTAATACGGCTACAATCACCTCATGCAAATTAAGGGAATTCCTCGGGACCCCCAGTTCAACAGAACTAGTGTCCCCATTGGAAAATTTCTCCTCTATTATTTTTCTGGGGACAACCCAAAATTTGGGGTTTTCTTTTACTTTCACTGTTGATAATGGTAAACAGGACAAATATAGAGGGTGAATCTCCCTAACAGGGGCACAGACAGTAATAAAAGTTTAATAGGTGTTCTGATACCTCTCCACTCTGTCCAAAAATGGAAAAAATAGTTTTGCCTTTAGTTATTCTTTAACTGAACAAGCTGCAGTTAAAAGCTGGTTGGCTATCATGCGCAACTGCACCAGACTCTGAGTGCACCAGTTTTAATATATCTACCCCTATATTTTTTATATATATATTGCTACCCCTGCAGGGGCCCCTTGATAATGCTTGTCCCCAGTGATGATTGCCCTGACCTTGCAAGCCTCCTGACACCTCTGACACTCTGGGTTCAGACATATTTCAACAGTATGAAATATTAACGCAAAAGGTATGGTTCTTTAGTAACTCCTCTATATTAGATTTGTTCAAAAGCGTAGGCCACCAGAATAATGGGTTTAGGATAAACAACCCCAGTTAACACATAATAATAGAACACTGGTAAAATAAAAATAATCAATTATCAATGTTTAACAAATTATTCAGTCATGATTAGTAAGTTTCAACTATTAAACTGCAACGCCAGTATTAAGAGGGGGAAGAAAAGGCTTGCTGACTTATCAGCCCCCTCTAGGCCACCAGCTCCACAATGATGGATGCAGAATTATGTGACATAAATATATATAAGTATTCTAATTTAACTAACAATGGCCTTTGAAGGGGAGGGGGAGGCCAATTTAACTAGAGATTGCAACTTCAGTCCTGTGATGTTGATATGGTGTTGTCCGTTGTCTTCTGATAGCAATGGTGGGGTCCATAAATAATACAGAATACTGGTAATTCACTTAAGTTAAACAGATACTGCTGTGATACTGCTCAAAGCAAAGATCTCCTGATACTGAGGTGTAAAGATGTCTTTATGCAGAGTCTATAGAGTGGCGACTGTAAGAGGTTGGGCATCCGCCTGCTCACCAATCCCATGGATATCACTGCCTCCTAAGAACAAGGATTTTTACACAGGCTCTTGGCTGTTCTCAGGGATGTGCAGAGTTGCCACCTGACAGCCTGCCAGCGCAGTGAGCAGAGATGTGTGCACTCGCTTTATAACGGTGGGTATTTTTTTAGACCTACTGGCTATTATACTCCTTATAATACAATTACCTTATTTTTCACTCCATAAGATGCACTTTTTTTCCCCCAAAAAAAGGGGGAAAATGTCAGTGCGTCTTATGGAGCGAGTATGGAGCGGCCGGTCCAGTATTCCCACCGCCACCACCGCCGTGTCAGAAAACCAGGCCGGCTGTTCATCTCTTCTCTGCAGTAGAACCTTACCTGGTCCAGCACTGTACAGTCTTCCCTCGCCGGCATCTTTAGTGTGGGATCTCGGCTGTGACAGCCGGGTGCCCAGTGCGCATGCGCGAGATGCGCTGCACTTTGTGAATGGCACGGCGTCTTCTGGGACACATGACAGGTCCCAGAAGATGCCGGACCAATCACAAAGCGCAGTGCTTCTCGCGCATGCGCAGTGGGCACCCGGCTATCAGCCGGGTGCCCATATTAAAAGGGAGGGACAACAGTCAAATTCAGGTACCCGCTCCCCATCCCTCCCCAAAGGTCCACAGTCTCTTAGTCAT